AGCAAGTCTGCCCCCGTGGAGTGGAAGAAGGGGCCCGAGACCCTCAGAGCTGGGGACAGGGTCAGCCTGAGGCAGGACGGGGCCGTGTGTGAGCTGGAGATCCGGGGCCTGGCCGTGGCGGATGCTGGGGAGTACTCGTGCGTGTGTGGGCAGGAGAGGACGTCGGCCACGCTGACCGTCAGGGGTAACGACCGCATGTGGCCACATGGACTTGTTTGGGTGCCTGTTATCTTAGTCTCTTGCATCCACACTGGGTGTCCATGGGTTCTTGCATCCTCTGTGCCTTGGGCATTTTCCTTTTTCCCCTGTCTGCTTACCTGTCATAGCGTTATTTGGTGTCCTGGTGTCTGGGTACTGATCTGCATCCAAATGACCTCACTTGGCCAGTCCTGGTGGTAGGGGAAGAATCCCAGCTTGTGCCTTCCCTCCTATCTTCTCGACTTTCCTCCTCCTCCCACAGCCTCTAGTCAGGATCTGCCCTAGGGGCCTGAGAGGACCGCTGGTCTTGATGACCTGGCAGGGCACAGGCCTGCCCATGGGTGTCCCGGTGGAGGCCATCATGAGATTAACTTGGTCAGAGATAGAGTTCTCTTACAACTCACATCACAGTCTTTCCCCTGAAGTGGACCCACAGCCATGATGCCCACTCCCACCCAAGTCTCCTAGGTCCTATGGGCAGCCAGGCAGCTGGGGTGAAGCTGTGAGTCATGCTAGACCTAGGCTCTCAGCAGGGCTGAGTGAGTCTGGAGAGGCCCAGCTCCTGGCTGAGTGTAGGGGCCATCTCCTGTCTGGACATGGGGGCCCAGCTCTTGCCTGGGTGTACGGATTGTTTCCTGTCTAGACATGGGGGCCCAGTCCATGGTTGGGTGTGGCGGCCACCTCCTGCCTGGGAATAGGGACTGACCCTGTGTCCCCTCTGCTCACCCACCCTGCAGCCCCACAGCTGGTATTTCGGGAGCCCCTGCAGAACGTGCAGGCTGAGGAGGGTGCCTGGGCCAGCCTGCAGTGTGAGCTGTCAGAGCCCAGCACTGTGGTCTGGAGCAAGGGTGGCCTGGAGCTGCAGGCTGATGGGCGGCGAGAGCTGCGGCAACAGGGATGTTCAGTGGAGCTGGTGCTGCGGGACCTGCGCCGGGAGGATGCCGGGGAGTACACATGCACCTGTGGCTCCCAGGCCACCAGTGCTACCCTCATCATCACAGGTGGGCTCCAAGGTGGACTCTGTCCTCTGCATAGGGCCTGCCTGCTTTGGGGGGACCGTCTGGGCTGCAGCCCTGCCCTGGGAGTCCCATCTGAGGGGACCCTGGCTCATGCAGGGTGGGCAAACCTGGACTGAGGCTCTGCCCTCCTCCCCCGCCACGTCCCTGCCCTGCAGCTGCACCTGTGCACTTCATCCGGGAGCTGCAGGCCCAGGAGGTAGACGAGGGCATGACGGCCCGCCTGCGCTGTGAGCTGAGCCGAGCGGGTACCAGCGTGGAGTGGCGTAAGGGCTCGCTGCAACTCTTCCCTTGCGCCAAGTACCAGATGGTGCAAGAGGGTGTGGCTGTGGAGCTGCTCGTGCTCGGTGTCGAGCAGGAAGATGCTGGCCATTATACCTGTGACACGGGCCATGCACAGAGCACGGCCAGCCTCTTGGTCCGCGGTGAGCTGCCTGCTGGCCCCTGCCCTACCCAGGTCCTTCAGCCCCCATGGAGCAGGAGGTGCCTTGCTCAGCACCTCTAAGTGCTCCTCCTGGCCCCCTAGCTCCCAGGCCGATGTTCCAGACTGAGCTACAGGGCACAGAGCAGGAGGTGGGTGGTGTGGCCCGACTGTGCTGCCAGCTGAGCAAGGTGGAGCCCGGCGCCCCAGTGCAGTGGCTCAAGGAAGGTGTGGAGCTGCGCGCAGGCCCCAAGTATGAGATGCGTTATCAGGGGGCCACATGTGAGCTGCTGATCCATGGGCTTGAGGCCAAGGATACAGGCGAGTACGCCTGCGTGGTGAGTGGCCAGAAAACCTTGGCCTCCGTCAAGGTCAGAGGTGAGCCCTCCTGTCACACCCACTCCTCTATATCTGCCTTGGGGTCCCCCTCTCTCCAAGTCTGTTCCAGGGGGCTGGCTCTCAGGCCCCTGGGGTTACAAGCTTTCCTTTCTCATTTCTGTACCACTCCTCTGTCAACAGTGGGGAAACAGGCTGTGGCCCCTGGACGCTGACAGATGAGGCAGCCTGACCTGGGCCACCCTCTCTGAGCCCCTGCCTGTCTGTCTGAAGTCTTGCCTCTCTGATGTCCCAGCCAGGGCAGGGATGGCCACAGGGTGGGGCTGGATGGAGGCAACTCACCACACTGCAACTTCTTGCTTACTTTCTCCAAACAGAGGCACCTTCAGCCTAGTCTCTGCCCCCTGGAGCTCAGCATCATGGGAGGGGTCTGTGTGTGTAGCACACTGGGTGATGAATGCTGTGTGGGGCAGATAGAGGTCATGGCAGGAGAGGAGTGGGGAGTATCCAGGAAGGCTTCCTGAGGAAGGGGCATGGGAGCTTGGCCCAGGTGTTCATACCTGGCTGGTAAAGCGTACCTCTTGCCCATACTCCAGAACCTGAGGTGACCATCGTGCGGGGCCTGGTCAGTGCCGAGGCGCAGGCTGATGGGGAGGTGGAATTCAGCTGCGAGGTGTCACAGGTGGGGACCAAGGATGTGGAGTGGCGCCTCCAGGGCCTGCCGCTGCAGAACAACGAGGTCACAGAGGTGGCTGTGCGGGATGGCCGCACCCACACACTGCGGCTGAAGAGCGTGACACCGGAGGACGCAGGCACTGTCTCCTTCCATGTGGGCATCCACATGTCCTCTGCCCAGCTCACTGTCCGAGGTAGCGAGCGTGGGCAGCTGCCCTGGAACGTCCAGGCCTTGTTGGGGGACAGAGACAGATTACAAGGGTCCTTGCTTTTGAAGTGGGGAACTGGCAGGGAGGTAGCCCCGTACATGGGCAGTTCTGGGTGGCCTGAGATGTCCAGATTGAGTGGTACCCTGTGTGCTTGTCTGCAGGGATTTGGGTGGGGTGCTTGGGATGGACTCCAGGACTGGGAGGCACTCCTGATGGTGGGGCATCCCAGAAGCCCAGGCTGATGCTATACCTCCCCTGGTGCAGCCCCCGAGGTGACCATCCTCGAGCCCCTGCAGGATGTGCAGCTCAGCGAAGGCCAAGATGCTCACTTCCGTTGTCGGCTGTCCAGAGCCTCCAGCCAGGAGGCCCGCTGGGCCCTGGGAGGGGTGCCGCTGCAGGCCAATGAAATGAACAACATCACAGTGGAGCAGGGCACGCTCTACTTGCTCACTCTCCACAAGGTGGGACCCTGGGACCTGCCTCCATTCATACACTCCCAGGAGGCGGGAGGCGAATGTTCCAACTCCAGTTAGATTGGGCTGGGGACTTGCCAGCAAAGCTGGTTGGAATGAGCTGCCAGGCTGAGACCCCCATCTCTGCTCCCACAGGTGACCCTCGAGGATGCTGGAACTATCAGCTTCCAAGTGGGCTCGTGTAGCTCAGAGGCCCAGCTGAAAGTCACAGGTGAGCAGCCCCTTACCACGCCCAGCCTCCTGCTTAGGGATGTCAAGGGGCTGCTGAGGGGTGGTGTGGCCGGAATCCCAAGCCTTCCCATAGTGATCTTACCTTGGGGTGGCAATTTTCCAACCCTAGACTGGAGATCCCACTGAGGTGGGCTAGTGACCAGCTCGAGAGATTCTGGTGTGTGGGGGGTATCTGCGTGGGGTTAGTGCTGTCTGTAGAAGGAGTGTGGGGAGCCTGGCCATGGTGATCTGGACTCTGAGGTGGAAGCAAGGCCTTTCACACTTCCACCCTTTATATGGCTACTCCTATGACACAGGTTGTATTAACACACACTTGCATACTTGGTGGGTTCCCAGATGATATTGCAATAGCACACCTGTTTGGGGTATAGTGGTTTTCAAAGACCTTCAACTTGGGTTATACCTTGTCTGCAAAGATGTCATTCCTGAGTGTCCCGCCCCCCCATCCGTTGTCCTACTGGTTCTCACACTGGTTCCTTCCATCTAACCATCTGTCTACCATCCATTCACCATTCATCTATTTTTTATTCCATCAATCCATCATCAATCATCTATCTATCCATTCATCCACTCATCATCCATCATCTACCATCCATCACCATTCATCCACCCTTCCTCCATCATTCATCCACCATCTACCATCAATTCATCTGTCCACCATCCATCTAACATCCATCTATCCATCTACCATCTCACCATCTATTCATCCATCCATTCATCCGGCCACCATCTACTCATTCACTCTCTGTCCATGATCTATTCATTCACCATCTATCCATCCACTATCTACCATCCATCCACCATTCACCATCCATCCATTCATTCATCCATTCATGCATCCACTATCCATCCATTGACTCCTCTTTCACCACCCACTATCATTAATCTATCTACCGTCCATCCACCATCCACTATTCATCCACCATCCACCCATCCATCTACCCATCCATTCATTTATTTCATCCACCATCATTCATCCGTCTTCCACCATTCATCCACCATTCATTCATTCATCAATCCATTCATTCATTCATTCATCTATTTATCCCTCATCCATCTACCTAGCCATCCATCTATTCACCCATCCATTTATCCATCCACCCATTCATCTACCATCTATCTGTTGAACAAACCCTCTAAGCCCCCACCTTTGTCTAAGTCCCAGACTGTGAAAGGGACCAAGCGCAGCTCTGGCCTTGGGGAGCCCCCCAATCCCCTGGGGTACTTGAACTTTGGAGACAAAGCAAGTCATGAGTCTTTAGGGGTTGGACAGACACGGCCAGCTCTGTGGCCTGTGGGGCTTGAGAAAGGCCTCAAATTGAGTGGTGGGAGAGGGACAGTGTCCTGAACAGTGCTGGGCCAGTAAGGTTCTTGTGTCTGTGAAGGGGACATGGAGCTGGGTTGGGCCTTGTGGGCCTTATAAGGGGCTGTACCTTGGCTTTTGTCAGTCAGGTGTCCCCAACCTGCGCCACCAGCCATATCCTCAGGGTAAGGCCATGGGCGTGGGGGTGTGCAAATGGGTGTCATGGTTGGTGGTGTACAGGCAAGCTTGGAAACAGTGCTGGAGATGGGAATGGGGAGCTGGTGGAGCAGATGGGGACCGTCAGATGGGTTCTTGGGAGAGTGCGGGGGCAGGCAGGTGGCTGGAGCTGGGGTGTCAGGGGCTTTTGAGGAGAGCCTGGCTGGAACGAGGAAGAGCAGGCAGCAGCCACATCTGGGAAACCCCTGGACTTGGGCCTACTGTGTGGTGGGGCAGGAAGCAGTTGCTACGGGCATTATGGCCCTGGATTCTTAGGGCCTGGAGACAGCAGAGGACATCTCGACAGATGGCTTTCTGGGGACAGGAAGCATCTGCTTCCACACCCACAGGGACAGAGGGCCCACTACCTGAGGCAGACTATACCCTCTCAGAGCAGTGCCCCATGGCCTCTTCTCCCCAGCCCCCAACCCATCCCACAAAGATCATAGCCATGAGGCTTGGGGCTTGCCGTTCTGCCTTCTGAAGAGGCCATGGATATGTGTCATCCACGTACTTTGGTGAAATTGGGCATGTTCTGGAGGAGGCCATGGGTGCAAGGGGGCTGAGCCAGCTCTCCATGGGCTTGCTGTGGGTGATATGTGTGTCTCATTTCATGAGCAGAGTGGGACAGCTGGGTGGATATCTAGACCCTGTGGGCTTAGAGCGCCTCAGCCCACCCTCCTGTTGCCCTCTTGTGCAGAGGCAGCGCCATGCCTGGTATGTGGCTTACAGAATGTGGACGTCTTTGCGGGGGAGGTGGCCACGTTCTCCTGTGAGGTGTCCCATGCAGGTGGGCCAGAGGCCCACTGGTGGCTGGATGGGACCCTGCTGCAGGACGGCCCCCAGAGTGCCATCTGTGTGCGTGATGGGACCTTCCACTCCCTCACGCTGTCAGGCCTGGGGGTTGCTGACTCAGGCACCATCACCTACCGCGCAGGGCCCCTGGTTTCCACGGCCAAGTTGTTGGTCAAAGGTACCAGCCGATGAGACCCCACTGCACTGGTGCTTCTGCCACTGCTGCTCCTGCCGCTTCCTGTGGTTCCTGGGTCTGGGGGTTGGGGGCTGGCATCGCTTCATACATGCTGTGTAGGCATGTGGGCAGGCTGCAGTCCTGCTTCGTGGACAAGAAAGGCGGCCAGGCTCAGAGCACGAAGCTGAAGGCCAACCCCATGCCTACCTGTTTGTGGGGCCCTGGCTGTTGCTACCACCTGGCCAGATGCACCCCCAGAGAGCAGGCTTCCGTCCTGGCCTGGCCTGCCCTGTCTGTCCCTGCTCAAGGCTGCTTCCCCTGCTGTGGGTTGGGTCAGGGTCTTGTGATCTTCTGGTAAAGAGTTAGCAGTTAGGAAGGGCAGTGGGCTTCTAGAGACATCTCAGTACACTCCCAGTGTGGGTGTCAGGTGCTCCTGGGATGGTTATTTGGTGCAGCTTAGCTTGGTGTTTGCTGACAGGCCTTCTCTCATCATTGCAGAATAAATATGGACATTCTTCCAGGTCCAAGGGGTGAACCATTTGTTGAATAGGATTTTGCAAGGCAGAGATGGGATGGGAATCTCTGGACGGGGAAGAGAGGCCCCTGGAAAAAGGACAAGCTGGGTGCTCTGTGTCCAGCAGAGCCTGTGGACCCAGAGGGGGCTTTCGGGAAGGGGCATTCTGTTCCTACTGTGGCAACGTGAACCCCAGGCCAAGGTAGGCCAGGGCTCAGTGGGGCAAGAAGTGCCAGGAAGGGCCTAGCAGACAGACTGTCTGTGTGTGGGGGGCATATAACTTTGAGGTTCACCCAACAAGGAGGGCCCTGGGGTGAGTTCCTTTCCTGCCGCAGCCCCGCACTTGCTTGCTGCCTAGCTGTTGATGCTGACCACAGAGGGTGGGTGGGCCCTGGCTACGCTGCTCCGGCTGATGCGTGCCCGGCGTGTCGGCCGACAGATCCCGTGGTGGAGGTGGTCAGTGCCATGCAGGACCTCGCGGTGGAGGAGGGCGGCCCGGCTGAGCTCCTCTGTCAGTACTCAAGGCCGGTGCAGGCCACGTGGAAGATGGATGAGCAGGAGGTGTGCGCCGACGGGCACCGTGTCATCATAGAGCAGGACTGGACCGTGGCCAGGCTGTCCTTCAGGCCGGCCTTGCCCCGTGACAGTGGCATCTATTCTTGTGAGGCCGCGGGCACCCGCGTTGTGGCTCTGCTGCAAGTGCAAGGTGAGGCCGCCCAGAGGGCAGCCCCAGCCCCATCAAGCTTCAGTGGGATCAAGCTGAGCCACAGTGGTGGGACGGCAGGCAGCGACAACTGCGTGATGATGACAGTGATCGTATTAGAGAGATGGGGTCCCAGCAGATGGATCTTGCCGAAGTGGCTGTGCCCGGAGCCCATCCACTCAGATTCCCGCCCCTCCTCAAGCAGCTTGATAGAGACAGGATGGCTGGACAAACTCTGTGCAGGGGCTGTACCCGAAGAATCTGCATTTAAAACACTGGGGAGGTAGAGGCCAGTGGGGAGCAGCTTCTGGGTGGCTGGGGATGAGGAGTCAACTAGCAGGCCTGGGGTCAGTGAGGCCCTCTGCAGGACCCTATGTGGGGCTGTATCCCAATGTCTAGGTTCAGATCCCAGCTCTGCCCCTTCCCAGGTTGGTCAGTCAGAGGGAGCTCCGAGCCCCATGTCTCTGAAAGCATACACTGTGGAAGGGGGCATCACTGGTAGGGGCCGGTGGGCTGCCCCACTGTGGAAGGGGGCATCATTGGCTGGGGCCATTTTCTGTGGGAAAATCTGAAATGTTCCTGGTGTTGAGTGAGCTGGAGGGTGGACACAGTTGTCAGGGGGCCATCCAAGCTAGACAGCAGGTTTGGGCCACTGGCCGCCTGAGGTCACCTCCCTCTCCCCATTCATTTACTAGTTCAACAACTAAGTCTTGTAAACATTTTTTTTTTTTTAGCCCAGCAGGTCTGGTAGCACTTGGGAGCAGAGCAGAAAAGACAAAAATCCTTCCCTTCACTGTGACCCCGCCCCCCCACCCCCAAAATCCCCATTGGAAAATGTGATAGGAGCTATGGGAAGGGGTTGCAGTGTGACCAGGTTGGGGGTGGGGAGGGCTAGGGCTTGTGGATATCTGGGCAGAGAGCCTTCATCCACGGGGAGGGTCTACTGGAGAATGGAGGCAGAGTAGGAAAATGGGGACGGCAGGTGCTCAAAGGCTTGCTGCTGCATTAAAATCTGGGATTTTATCAAAGCAGTGATGACATCCTTGGATGGGAGCTAAGGAGGGTGAGCTCCAGCAGTGACTGCCCCTGGCCTTCCCCCTCGTTCCTCACCACTCCCCCGATCATTCCATTGGAGCAAGATGTGATCAGACTCTTGAGTCCCTGTTGGCGCCGTCTGTTGTAACGTGGGGAGGAAAGGAGCTGGGCTGTGGGGTGTCAGGTTTGGGGTACAAGCAGCTTAGGGAGGGAGGTGGCCTGATAGAGGGATATGGGCAGCCCAGTGTGTCCTCTGCTTTGAGGCACCCTCCTCCCTCGACCCCTCCACCCCTCTGGCCCCTATCCAGAGCAGACACCCCTGGCTGCAGGCACGGGCCGGGGCTCTGGCCGCACTGGGAGGGAGCATCTGGCTGTGCACAGGTTCATTTGGAGCATGTACCCAGACAGCAGTTGGGGCTGTGGGCCTAGACCTCCAGCTCAGTGACTACAGTGGCTCCTTGCTGTCATGTGCATCAAAGCCAGACCCTCCCCAACATCCAGGCCAGCCCTCGGTCACCTGGCGCTCCTCTCCTGTCTGACCTCACCACCTGGCTCCTTGTGTCCTTTACCCTGTTGGCCTGACTCCCTGCTGCCTGCCATGCATCCCTCTCTCATTCCCACTCCTCTTAGCTAAATACCTGCAGTGTAAGTGGCCTGTTGTGCGAACGGTGCTGGGAGGTGGCAAGTTGGCACAGCCAGGCACTGAGTTCATAGCTTCCAATAAAAACATGTGGCTGCTTGTTATAGACTCCTGGACTGTGTGGAGGAGAGAGGGCTGGGGAATGAGCACATAGGTCTCTCTGGTCCCAGCGAGTGAGGGAAGCAGCCCAGCAGGTCTGGTAGCACTGGGTGGGAGACAGAAGAAAGGGGGCCAGGTCCAAGGCCCACCTGCAGCCAGGGCAAAGGGTGGGAGCCTAGGCCAATTCTGAATCTGGCTATGGCCCTGGCAAGTTTTGGGAATACTTGTGAGGTTTCTTCCTGTGCAGTGGGGAGGACCCTCAATCTGGCCACTAGGGTTGCGATGGTGTGGAGGTGGGCAGGGCCTCTGGAGTCCATGAATGATGGCTCCATGTGGATACCGCTGGTCTCCCTCTTGTGGTCAGCTGCATTCTGTTTGGCCCTATGTCATGGTGGAGCTCTCTCATGGGACTGTTGGGGGACCTGGGCTGAGGAGGCTTCACACCCTCAGTCACCCTCTCCCTTCCTCAGCCAAGAACATGGTGGTGCGGGGCCTGGAGAACGTGGAGGCGCCAGAGGGCGGTGAGGCGCTGTTCGAATGCCAGTTGTCCCGACCTGAGGTGGCCGCCCACACCTGGCTGTTGGACGATGAGCCAGTGCTCAGCTCCGAGAACGCCGAAGTGGTCTACTTCGAGAATGGCCTGCGGCACCTGCTGCTGCTCAAAAACTTGCGGCCGCAGGACAGCTGCAGGGTGACCTTCCTGGCGGGGGACATGGTGACGTCAGCGTTCCTCACTGTCAGAGGTGCGGGGTGCCAGTTACCCAGCTGAAGGAGTGGGGAGTGGGACCGCAGGAGGGCAGAAAGTCTCTCAGACCTCTCCCACCAGTTACCCCGTTGGGGTCTTCCCAAGGCGGTCTTGAGATCCAGCCTGGGTGGGGTGGGATGGGGGGTGGTAATGGTGTGGCCTTCGGTCTCTGGGACCCCGCCCACCAGATGCGGAGGTATCAGGAGAGGCCGCAGGGGGCATGATTCTCTCAGAACCCTCCCACCAGATTCTGAGCTGTAGCGGGGATAGTAGAGTGGGCAGAGTGGGGAGGGCTGTGACCACGTGGGTGTTGGTCTCTAAGACCCCTCCCACCGGAGGCTCAGAATTGGGAGGCTGTGGATCTCTGAGACTTCTCCACTGGAGCGGAAACTGTTCTGTGTTGTGGGGGTATGTTGATCTCTGAGACCCCTCCCAGAAAGAGGGCGGTGGCAGTGGGAGGGGTGGCCTGGAAGTTTCCGAGCCCTCCAGAAGTCACCTCTAGTCCTGCGCTCATGTTCCCTGCGCTGCCCCTCAGGCTGGCGCCTGGAAGTCCTGGAGCCCCCGCAGGACGCAGCGGTGCGGGCTGGGGAGCCGGCTCAGTTCAGCTGCGCGCTCAGCGAGTCAGTGCCGGTAGGCGAGGCGATCTGGTACATCAACGGGGCGGCAGTGCTGCCGGACGACGCCGACTGGACGGTCACTGCCGACGGCAACCACCATGCACTGCTGCTGCGCTGTGCCCGGCCACAACATGCTGGCGAGGTCACCTTTGCGGCCCGCGATGCGGTGGCCTCCGCGCGGCTCACCGTGCTGGGTGGGTGGCTCCTCTGTGGGTGCACGAGGGCTGCAGTTTCCAGCCTCAGAGGCTGCTGGAGGTTCTCCGTGTACCCCCACCCAGGGTGGGCTCTGACACCCAGTCTTCTTGTGACTGAAACGCACGATCTGGCTCCCTGAGACGGGTGACTCCCGGCCCTTGCTCACAGGCCTGAGGGGTGGTCTGCCCGTACCCACACTGAGCCCTAAAATCAGCCCCGTGGGTGGGGATGGGGTCTGTGCCGCAGGTGGGGAGACGTCACACTGACCGTCCCCTACACCCCGCGCAGGCCTCCCCGACCCCCCCGAGGATGCCGAGGTGGTGGGACGCAGCGGCCGCTCAGTGACGCTGTCTTGGGTGGCGCCTACGAGCGACGGCGGCGGCGGCCTCTGCGGTTACCGGGTGGAGATGAAGGCGGCGGCCACCGGCGAGTGGCAGCTGTGCCACGAGCTGGTGCCCGGGCCGGAGTGCGTTGTAGACGGTCTGGCCCCCGGGGAGACCTACCGTTTCCGCGTGGCAGCTGTGGGCCCCGCGGGAGCTGGCGAGCCAGTGCACCTGCCCCAGACCGTGAGGCTCGGTAAGTCACAGTCCTGGTCCTGGCCGATGAGTGTAGAGATCCAGCCTGGAGCGCTTAGGCCTGCCCAAGCTGGAGGGCCGGGGCATGATCTTGCTGATGTGCCCATCACCATCCGCTGTTCCCAGCAGAGCCCTTGGAGCTGGAGCCTGTGCCTCCTGCCCCTGAGAGCCGGCAGGTGTCTGCGGGTCAGGATGTGCGTCTGGAGTGTGAGGTGGCAGAGGCGGGAGAGGTGGTCTGGCTGAAGGGGACAGAGCGCATCCAGCCCAGCGGGCGCTTTCAGGTTCTCTGCCAGGGTCGGCGGCAGACACTGGTGATCCGGGGCTTCTCCGCAGAGGACCAGGGCGAGTACCGCTGTGGCCCCACCAGGGACCCAGCCTCCACCACTGCCACTGCCTTCCAGGGTGCGTCCTCCTGGGCACAACTTGTTGTGGGGTGGGAACTGAGTGGAGAGCCCTGGGTTATGGGGTTGCGGGGTGGCCCTCCACTGCGAGGAGTCCACTTGGGGAGCCCATCTCACACCAAGGGAGACTGAGGCCTTCTGGGGAGATGCACAGACCCTGTGTGTCTCAGCCTCGTGTCAGAAAACATATAGCTGAATATGCAGGCCACACCCCTCCCTGAGTGGGATCCTAACGACAGATGCCGCCCTTGGTACCCACTCCTGGTCCCTTAAGTTCTTTACCCCTACTCTCTGAGGCCATCTACATTCTGAGCTCCCATGCAGTGAGACCCCTCCCCACTGCACTCTGTCTTTCCTGTGACCTCCAAGCCGCCCTGAGCTCCCTGCAGTTTAACACCCCCCAACTCTGAGCCCTTGCACTGACCCTGGCCCTGAGCTCCCTGTGTGCAGGAGGTAGACTGAGGCCTGGCTTATCAGGAGAAGCTGAGGTCCAGAGAGGGCCATTTGGAGCTCCTTAAACCTCCATCGGAACTCTTGGGGGACCAGATAGGCAGCAGAGGCCTATCGAGGGGAATAATAGCAACCTAGGCTGACCTGTCTTCTGCTGTCCCCAGTGGTGCTGTTGCCAGGATCCGGGACTGAGGCCCCAGCACAGCCCAGCCTGCCCCCTGAAGCGGCCCAGGAGGGTGACCTGCACCTGCTGTGGGAGGCCTTGGCCCGGAAACGCCGCATGAGCCGTGAGCCCACATTGGACTCCATCAGTGAGCTGCCGGAGGAGGATGGGCGCCTGCAATGCTTGCGGCAGGAGACAGAGGAGGCAGCCCCTGAACTCTCTGAGGACTACTCCACGGCCGATGAGCTGGCACGCACTGGCGAGGCCGACCTCTCACACACCAGCTCTGATGATGAGTCCAGGGCGGGCACTCCTTCACTGGTCACCTACCTTAAGAAGGCTGGTAGGCCCAGCAGCTCTCCCTTGGTCAGCAAGGTGAGCCTCCAGTTTCGCCTGCACTGGAGGCCTGGGTATCTCAGATCTTCATCACACAGTCACTGTCCATCCACCCATTCATCCACTCACTAACCCATCCATTCGTCCATCCATCCACTCATCCATCCATGTACCTTCTGTTCATCCATTCATTACCATCCACTTATCCATCCATCTGTCCACCTTTCTATCCATCTACCACCCTCAACCCATCCATCCATGTACCCTCTGTGCATCCATCCACAATCCATTTATCCGCCCATCCATCCATCCATCCATCCATCCACCATCTATCTATCTGTCCATCCACCCATCTACCACCTTTCTATTCATTCATCCATCCACCCCCATATCTGCCTATGTACTCATCTGCCCATCAGTACATCCCCCTATCCACTATCTACCAGTCACCCATTCTCCTAGCTGTTAAAACTTTCCTAGAGAGCTGGAACTGGCCTCTCCATGGTGTTTCTCATAACCCTGTGAATCTCCGTCTGGGTAACTATGTAAAGTGATTTCAGGGAGGGTGCGTTTGCTTTCTCTTATAACAGGAGCCATCAGGCACCTGGCCTTCGTGAAGGTAGTGCGGTTGTCAGCAGGCAGAGGCAGAGTGGTGTGCTGAAGTGGGCGTGGAGCTGGGACGCAGACCAGGCTCTGCCTCTAGCCTTCCTGGGATGCCCCTGCCGTCCTTTCCCTGATGTGGGCCTCAAGTTCCTTACCTTACCTATGTCACAGATCGAGGCCCCAGCAGTCCCTTCTGGGAAGCCACAGAAGGAGCAGGAGCAGCCAGCCACAGCTTGCCCACCACTGGGAGACCTGGCTGACCCGTCCCTGGACAAGGCAGCCATGAAGATCCAGGCTGCCTTCAAGGGCTACAAGGTGCGGAAGGAGATGAGGCAGCAAGAGGGACCTGTGTTCCGCCGCACATTTGCAGACACCGAGGCACAGATGGGGGATGTCCTGCTTCTGGAGTGTGTGGTGTCCAGCAAGGCAGATGTGCGAGCCTGCTGGCTGAAGGATGGTGTGGAGCTGACTGATGGCCGGCACCACCACATTGACCAGCTTGGGGACGGCACCTGCTCTCTGCTGGTCACTGGCCTGGGCCACGCAGACGCCGGTTGCTATACCTGTCAGGTGAGCAGCAAGTTTGGCCACGTGGCCCACAGTGCCCATGTGGTGGTCAGTGGGACAGAGAGTGAGGCTGAGAGCTCCTCTAGCAGTGAACTGGATGATGCCTTCCGCCGAGCAGCCCGGCGGCTGCACCGCCTCTTCCGCACCAAGGGCCCGGCTGAGGTTTCGGACGAGGAGATCTTTCTCAGTGCAGACGAGGGCTCGGCGGAGCCTGAGGAGCCTGCAGACTGGCAGACGTACCGTGAGGACGAGCACCTGGTCTGCATCCGCTTTGAGGCACTGGCCGAAGCCCGCCAGGCAGCCACCCGCTTCCAGGAGATGTTTGGCATGCTGGGCATCGGGGTAAACATCAGCCTGTCAGAGCAGGGACCACGGGGGGTGGAGATGCGCATCGCCAAGGTGGCCCTCGCCCCCGCAGCGCCTCTGGAGCTAGTGCCCAGCTTGCTGACAGCAGAGGCTGGTAAGTCTGCAAGCTGCCTGGGGCAGGTGGGAGCAAAGAGGGGCAAGGCTTGGGGGTGACCAGGGTCCGCTGAAGGTCAAGGCGTTGACTATGCTCCAGCTTGTGACCATTGGCAGATGCCACCCACTTAGGTGGAAGAAGCCCCGACTGCAGTAGGCGGAGCTCGGTTTCTGACTCTGCCTGTTACTAGCTGTCAGCATCCTCATGAACCCGCTAAGGGAGGGCCAGCTTTTGGCTTTTTCTGCACGTGGGTTTGAGATGCAACCTGTATAAAAGGTGGGGTTCCATGTGATCCTGTCTGCACCTCATCCCACGCTCTAGCAACTAAAATTAATTAAAAAACCATCTCGCTTTATTTGCATGTCTCTAGAAATGACAGAAGGGGGTGTCATTAACCCATTACATCATGCTGGAAAGCTCTCTTCTCCAGTTCTGAGTACCTCATGCCTCAAATTCCAGACTTCAGCCACCTGGCCTTGGCCTTCCATCCACTTCCCCTCCTCCTACTTCCTGTCTGCTGCTCTCTGGCCTCATGGTGACTTGGGAACCAGGTTGACAGAAGGAGGACCCTCTTAGAGAATAGGGAGGAGGGAGGAGCTCAGCAGACAATGACAGTTTAGCCATGGGGTCTGTGAGCACTCTCATGTGAATGGGGGCCTGCAGGTCACACGTGTGGACCCGCTGCAGCTGGGGCTAACTCGCATACCCTGACCATCCATTCTAGCCCCAGTATTCCTGACTGAGCTGCAGAATCAGGAAGTGCAGGATGGGTACCCTGTGAGCTTTGACTGTGTGGTGATGGGCCAGCCCATGCCCAGTGTGCGCTGGTTCAAGGATGGGAGGGTGCTGGAGGAGGATGACCATTACATGATCAGCGACGACCAGCAAGGTGGCCACCAGCTCATCATCACGGCCGTGGTCCCAGCAGACATGGGTGTCTACCGCTGTCTGGCTGAGAACAGCATGGGTGTGTCCTCTACCAAGGCTGAGCTCCGTGTTGACCGTGAGTGTGGCTGGCCAGGTCTGCTGGCCCAGGGTGGGTGGTGCAGGGTCTCCTGGCTGGGGGAACCATGCTGGGTTGGAGGATGATCGGGATTTGGGGCCCCAATGCCTTGTGGCCAATGGAGAACTCTCTAGGAGCCCCCTGGGGTGGGAGTGGGGCCTAAACTCCTTGAGAAGCGTCAGGGCTGAGGAGGGACTTAGGAAGGTTTGGAGTGCCCCGGGGCGCTGTGGGTGGTTAAGAGCACTGTGGGCAATAAGAAACAAGTATCTGGTCTCATCCCTGGTTCCTGGGTCACAGCTTTGAAATCCCTCAAAATTCTTAAGTGACAAGGATGTAGCAGCACCTTTGTTCTAACACAGTGACTCCTGGGGGGGCCCCTCAGTAGCTTCAGGATGGAGGATGGTTACAGCAAAGAGGACACCATGATCCCTGCAAATACACTGAACTGATTTTTGACAGAAGTGCAAAAGCCTTTGAGGGGAGGAAGAATAGAATTTTGACAGAGTAATTTGGACATTTATATGCAAAACAACAACAACAAAAACCCTTTGACCTTATATGAAAATTAACTCAAAATAAATTACATACTTAAGTGTAAAATATAAACCTATAAAACTTTGGGAAAACGATAAGAGGAAGTCTTCAGGACCTAGAGTTAGGCAAGGCCCTCTTACACTTGACTTGTAGCAAAACAAACAAACAAATAAAAAAAAAAACATAAAATGGACTTCATCAGAGTTAAGAACTTTTTCTCCGAAAAAGACCTGGTATGGAGGATGAAATGCTACAGGCTGGGAGAAAATTTCTGCAGACCATATATCTTATCAAGGATTTTATCTAAAATATAAAAACTGCTCAACATTAAACAGTGTTTAAAAATTTAATGTTGAACAGGAGCATCTCTAGATATTTCATGGGAAAGAACATACGGATAGCAAATAAGTATGCAAAAGATGTTGTACATATTTGTCAACGGGGAAATGCAAATTAAAACCCAAGGAGACATCGCTCCCTGTACATTATCAGATAGCTAACATCAAAAACGGTGATGACACCACATTTGGGTGAGGGTGCAGAGAAATGGGACCCCCATGCACTGCTGGTGTGACTGTAAAATGGTGCAGCTGCTCTGGAATGTGGTGTGGCAGTTTTTATAAAACTAATTAGGTACTTAACATGTAACCCGGCAATTGTTTTGTTGGACATTTATCCAAGAATTGAAAGCTCAAATTATAACAAGATACTCATAGTAGTTTTATTCCTAATAGGCCAACACTGGTATTGACCCACCTGTACTTCGGGGTGAGTGGTTAACCCATGTTCTGTGGGATGCTACTCAGCAAGGAAAAGGAACACGTTGTTGACACATGCAACAGTGTGACCAAATTACATTTTATTGCATGAACACAGATACACTCAATGGAGTTCATGTGAAATTTGTGAAATCTGAACAAGGTCGACAGGCTGATCAATATCACCTTTTATAGTTGAGAGAAAAGTTATTATTGCCAGAATCTGGGTGAAGGGTATATGAGAGCTCTATATTATTTCTTAGAATGGTATGTGAATTTACACTTCTCTCAAAATAAAAAGGAAAAAAATACTAAAACACAATAATACATCAATTATCTTAAATAAGAGAAGATCTTACTATTTCCCCATGCGCCTCTATTTCCTTGCTGTTCATTCTGTTGCATGAGTCTAGATTTCCATCTGGTGTCACTTTATTTCTGCCTAAAGGACATTTTTTTAAAAACATTTTTTGTAGTCTGGGTATCCTGGAATTCTTTCAGGTTGTGTATGTCTGTAAAAAGTCTTTATTTTGGTTTTGAAAGATATTTTTGTTAGGACAGCTTTTTCTTTCCATACTTTAAAGATTAAGCTCCATCTACTAACTTGCATTGTTTCCAATGAGAAATATGCGTCATTCTTGTCTTTGTTTCTCTGTACATAATTTATCTTTTCTATTGGGATTTTAATATTTTTAGATATTTTCACACCACAATATTCATCATTTAAAAGCATGCAATTTAGTGATTTAGTATGTCCACAAGGTTGTGCAAACATCACTACCATTTAATCCCAGAACATTTTTATTATCCCAGAAAAAAACAGCATACCTATTAGCCATCACTTTCCATCCCCCTTCCCCAGCCACTGGAAACTACTATCTACTTTCTGTCTGTGGATTTGCCTAGTCTGAGCATTTCATATAAATGGAATCACATAATATGTGGCCTTTTGTGTCTGGCTTCTGTCACTGACCATGTTTCCAAAGTCCATCCATGTGGTAACATATATTATTACTTCATTCCTTTTTATGGATGAAAAATATTCCATTGTATATGGATTTCTTATCCATTCATTAGATGATATTTATGCATTGTTGTTCTGGTTATTATGACTAATGCTGCTATGAACAGTAGTGCACAAATTTTTGTGTAGACATATGTTTTCAGTTTTCTTGGGTATAGATTCATGAGTGGAATTACTGGGTAGTATGGTAATTCGTTAACTTTTAGAGGTACCTCAAAACTGTTTTCCATAGCAGCTGCACCATTTTACATTCCCACCAGCAATGTGTGAGGGTTCCAGTTTCCCCACATCCTTGCTGGCACTTGTTAATTTTCTTAATAACAGCCATTCTAATGAGTATGAGGTTTTGATTGCATTTTCTTAGTGATAATGACTCTGGGTAGCTTTTCATGTGCTTGTTGGTCACGTGCATGTCCTTTTTGGAGAAATACCTATTCAAATCCTTTGTTTATTTTTATTTGATTTTACCTATTTATTTATTTATTTATTTAGCTAATTTTTAAATTGGGTTGTCTTTTGAGTTGTAAGAATTCTTTTTATATTTTTGGTACTAGACCCTTATCAGATATATGATTTTTGAATATTTTCTCCTGTTTTACAGGTGATTGTTTCACTTTCTTGATGGTGTCCTATGATGTGCAAGTGTTTTTAATTTTGATGAAATCCAATTTATTTTTCTTTTGGTTGCTTGTGCTTTGGTGGTCACATCTAAAAACCTGTTACCTAATTCAAGTTTGTAAAGATTTGCGCCTGTGCTTTCTTCTAGAAGTTTTAGCTTATATTTAGGTCTTTGGTCCATTTGGAGTTCATTATTTTCATGTAGACATCCAGTTGTTCCAGCACCATGTTGAAAAGACTTTTCCCCATACATTGTCTTGGAACTCTCATCCAAAACTATTTTCCATTAAGTATATGGGTTTATTTCTGACTCTCAATTTTATTCCATTAATTTAAATGTCTGTCACAACATTACTACACTCCCTTGATTACTGTAGCTTTATATTAAGTTTTGAAATCCAAAAGTGTTAGTTTTCCAACTCTATTCTTTTTCAAAATTATTTTGGACATTCTGGGTCTTTTGCATTTTCTTAGGAATTTTAGGATCATCTTGTCAATTTCTGCAAAAATGGTCTGGATAATTTTTAAGATATTTTTATCACTGGTTTTGAGCAATTTGGTTATATTATTTGGTGCTCTTTTCTTTATGTTCCCTTGTGCTTGCAGTTAATCGAGCTTCTTGGAATTTTGGGTTTATAATTTTCAAAAAGATTGGAAATTTTTTTGCCATTATCTCTTCAAATATTTTTTCTTTCCCCTCTATTTGGGGACTTCAGTTACATGTATATGAAGCCACTTGAAGCCATAATACAGGTCACTTTTAAGTTTTTAAAACCTTTTTCTCCGTGCATTTCATTTTGGATTTTTTTATTGCTATACCTTTATATTCACTGTTTTTCTTAATGTCTAATCTGCTATTAGTCTTGTCCACTGTATTTTTTTTAATCTCTAGAACTTCTACTAGAGCCTTCTTTATATGTCCGATGTCTCTACTTAACTTTTAGAACACATGGAATACAGCTCTGATACCTGCATTAATGTCCTTCTCTGCCAGTTCTAACGTATTGGTTCTGATTGCTTATTCTCCACATTATGGGTCCTGTTTTCCCGCCTCCTCACATATCTGGAGATCTTTGACTGGGTGCCTGACATTGAATCTTGCCCTTCTGGGAGCTGGATGTTGTGTATCCTGCAGGTCTTCTTGAGCTATGTTTTAGAAACAGTGAGTTTCTTGGAAGTACTTCAGTCCCTTGGAATCTGGTGTGCGTGATTTGTTGGGGGAGGCCAAGACAGCATTCACTCGGGGCTGATCCTCTCCCTCTACTAGGGTGAGAGCGTTCCTGAGCACTCTGCCTGACCTTGTTTCCAGCCTACCTGTGGAAACAGGTGGTGCCCCAGCTCTTAGGCTCCTCTGATACTGTTTCCTCTAGTCCTCTCAGGTGGTTCATTTCCTTTCATGCCCACGCTAAGTGACTCTGCAGGTTTGTGGACTCCAGCTGCTGTGACTCCCATGGCAACTAAGGATCTACCTGGATCTACCTCAGTTTCCCCTTCTGGGTCTGGAAGCTGAAGGCAAGAAGCTGAGGCAATCATAGGGTTCATTTTTGTTTCCTCTCTGTAAGGAGCCACTGTCCTTGCTTGTGTCAACCAGTGGTCATTGGTGGCAATTCAACACCAATGGAAATCCCCAATTTGGAGTGCAATGAAAAAGGAAACTTTAGTACAAAGAGCTTAATACGGTTTTAGCTCATTTATGAAGCAACACAGCTATAGGGCAGCCCTGGGGTGAGGCCTCTTTCCACTTAACTTTGTTCTGCTCTGCATCCTCTTCTGTACTCTGGTTCAGCAAGTCATCTTTGGTGCTTCAGCTCTGGCCTGGGAAACACACCTTTAGCAGGAAAGGGAACCTTTTAAGCCTGAGAGGGAGCTGACTTATATAGACAGAAGTCTCTGCCCCTGGTCCCTGATTGGTCTGTCCCCATGCAAATGAGGACTCCAAATCCTTGCAGTTTGATTGGTCCAAAAAGCACTGTCTTGATTGGTCAGAATGGAGCTGCCCTGATTGGTCTGTGAACATGATGATGGGGGGCGCTATAGCTCCGCAGCTCTGATTGGGCAGGGAAAGCCTCAGTTTTATTGGTTAAAATACTATTCCAGGAACTCCTTTACAAGGGCTTGCTCAGATGGCAGGAAAACAGTGATCCCTCTGTAAGGCATCAGTGTCCTTACTCGTTTCAATTGATGGTGGTTGCTGTCAATTCAATACCAACAGGAATCCCCAATTTGCGGTGTGGTTAAGAAGGAAACTTGATCAGTGCAAACAAGCTGTGGTCAGTTCAGTGCAGGCTTCTCCCCAAAGTACAGTCTGCATGAGAGGCTCTCTTTTTAAATTTGAGCCTGGTTAGCCACCAGGAGCCATTCTTGATAGGTATCTTATTTCTCAGGGTCCACACTTGCTTAATACTTAGTGACCTGAAATCATTCTGATGGTTCTGTAACCAATTTTAATGTGTGTGGGTTTTCCCCATAACAGGCAATTCTCCCAACACCAGCTGGTTGTCCTATAGTTTAACTAGGTTCTGATATTACTTACCTGGAGATAGCATCAGACCTTACAGGTTAAGGGCTCTGTCCCACAAGGCTGTTGCTACTTCAGATGCCAGTGGCAAGTCCAGGTGTCAGTAGGGCTTCTGACTGACTGACTCTAAATCAGAGGTTCCCACAGTCCCTCCTAGGGTTTCATCAATTTGCTAGAGCAGCTCTCAGACTCAGGAAACCAGTTTTCTTACCAGATCCCCAGCTTATTATAAAGGGAATAACTCAAGAACAGCCAGATGGAAGAGACACACGGGGCAAGGTATGTGGGAAAGGGCAAGGGGCAAGGGGCTTCTATGCCCTCTCTAAGCCCACAATTCCCTGCATCTCCCCGTGTTCAATCAGAAGCTTTGTAAACCCTGTCTTTTTGGATGTTTATAGCAGCTTCATTACACAGGCATGACTAATTAAATCATTGGCTGTTGGAGACTGATTCAACCTCCAGCTCCTCTCCCTTCCCAGGAGGGACTGAAATTTCCAACCTTTCCCCTAGCAACCAGCCTCCATCCTAGGGACTTTCTAAAATCACCTCCTTCACATAAACTCGGGGGTGGTTGACAGGAGTTTATGTTTTGAATGTCAAGATATCTTTATCGTTTTCATCACAGGAAATTCCAAGGTTTTTAGGAGCTCAGTGCCAAGAACAGTGGAAGACCAAATATATATTTCTTACTATAAATAACAACATCACAACTGCCGTTTCATGTATTTTGTTTGTTTTGGTGGTTTCAGGTGGGAGGGTGTCCTAGTTCAGGCTATTGTAACAAAGTACCACAGACTGGGTTGCTTGTGGACAACAAGAATGTATTTCTTAGTTCTGGAGGCTAGAAGTTTGAGATCAGGGTGCCAAGACGGTTGGGTCTTTCCAAGTTGCAGATGGCCCCCTTTTCATTGTGTCCTCACACAGTAAAAGGAGCTCTGTGGGGTCCCTTTCATAAGGGCACTAACCCCATTCACGAGGGCCCTATCTTTATGAACTAGTCATCTCCAAATATTATCACTTTGGAGGTTAGGTTTCAACATAGAAATTTGAGAGGCACTGAAATTTCCAGTTCATAGCAGAGAACAAATCCAGTCCCTGTTACTCTATTGTGGCTACAAGGGGAAGCCCCCAGCTGCTGGTTTTGAGGCCCTAAATACATCATCCCTTGTTCTCTAGTGGGATGGAACTGGAAAGGGCTGCTTCTGTCCCTGCCTGCCATTTATGAAGCCCAGAGTCACCTCTGTTTATAATTTGTTTGGTCTTATAGTTAGTTATAGTCCTGAAACTTGGGCTGCTAACAGCCTGGGGTTGGCAGGGTATGGGCACAGGGTAGCTGTGTCCCCATGACTTTTGACTTAAGAGAATAAGTGGCTCCCAGGGACAGCTGTGCAGTGAGAACCAGATGGCCTCAGGAGCAGGGCTGTGCCCAGGAAGAGGGGGCTCAGGCCTGGCTCCATCTGCACCCTTCATCCCCAGTGACCAGCACCGACTACGACACTGCCGCAGATGCCACGGAGTCCTCGTCTTACTTCAGCGCTCAAGGCTACTTGTCCAGGTGGGGGCTGTGCAAGAGCAGGCAGTGCCCAACAGGCTGGTGGTCCTGGGCCCTGGATTGGGGGTAACCATGCCAGCTTGGACTGATAGAATGCCTGTCCTGGAGGCTTCACCGAGGCCACAGTTTTTGTTCAGCATGTTAACAAGAGACTTCAGAAGCTCCCAGCCTGATCCCACCCTTCCTGGACCTCTTGCCCTCTCTAAGCCCACAATTCCCTGCATCTCCCCGTGTTCAATCAGAAGCTTTGTAAACCCTGTCTTTTTGGATGTTGGTCCCCACCTCTTGCTCATCACATCACACTGCCCCTTGCTCATCACATCACACTGCCCCTCTCTCTGTTCTCTGTCAGCCGTGAGCAGGAGGGTGCAGAGTCCACATCAGAGGAGGGGCAGCTGCCCCAGGTGGTAGAGGAGCTGAAAGACCTCCAGGTGGCCCCTGGCACACGCTTGGCCAAGTTCCAGCTCAAGGTGAAAGGTGAGGAGGAGAGGGATGGAGGGTCAGGCAATGCTTCCCACCAATAGAAGTCAGATGGTCATGGCAGCCCGGGGAGTCTCCAGGGATCCCCTCACTGGGCCACATGAAGGGCATAGCTCCCCTGGGCGGTGACCCTAAGTTGACCACTCCTCTTGCGGCTCCAGGCTACCCGGCGCCCCGCCTGTACTGGTTCAAAGATGGGCAGCCTCTGGCTGCTTCTGCTCACATCCGCATGGTGGACAAGAAGACGCTGCACACCCTGGAAGTCCTATCAGTCACCAGCGAGGATGCTGGTCAATACTCGGCCTATGTTAGCAATGCCATGGGCGCTGCCTACTCGTCTGCCTGGCTGCTGGTCCGAGGTGGGTGCCGGGAGCGGACGTCAGGCTACACACTGCCCATGGCAGGCTTGGGCTGGGCCCGTGGTCATCACTCCGTTTACAGAAGTGTAGTGGGTGGGCAGATGCCTGTCTGGGTTGTGGTAGGTGCTGGGTGTAGGAGTGGCAGGCTGCCATCGGGAACCCCTACCCCAAGAGTAGGCCCCCGGGCCCAGGTGGGAGGCACCTTCTTCCCGCAGGTCTTATTTCCCTGCCTCTTTCAGGTCCTAATGACCCAGAAGAGAAGCCGGCAGCAGGTGAGCTGAGTCCAGATGGGCTGACGGAGGGCGGGAGGCCTAGCAAGGGTGGTATGGGACTGGACACAGGCTTCGGGGAGGCCACCCAGCTAGGTAGGGGCTGGGACCTGGGAGGGTGGACAGAGCCCACCCATCACACAGGGCTGTGGTTCTCCACTTGTCGCCATTGGCCACCTGTGTCTCCCCAGATGTACAGCAGCAGCTGGTGCCACCCCGATTCTTGGAGAAGTTCACCTCCAAGAAGGTGAAGAAGGGCTCCAGTATCACTTTCTCTGTGAAGGTTGAAGGTAGGGTGTCTTACTCCCTGATTCAGGATCCCTAGGGAGGCTCAGAGCAGCCCCTCCCCTACTCAGGATCCCCAGAGAGGATCAGAGGAACTGCCCTCCTGGGGCCTCTTTCTCAGTGGGGACCAACTGTCCACTCCTGCCCCAGGTCTCCCAGCCCCAGCTGTGCACTGGTTGCGGGAAGAAGCAGAGAGGGTGTTGTGGATCTTCCAGGACACACCAGGCTACACGGTGGCCAGCTCAGCTCAGCAGCACAGCCTGGTCCTGCTGGACGTGGGCCAACAGCACCAGGGCACCTATACCTGCATTGCTTCTAATGCTGCTGGCCAGGCCCTCTGCTCTGCCAGCCTGCATGTCTCTGGCAGTGAGTGGGCATGGGTGCCCAGTGGGGATGGGAGAGGACCGGACCTCCTGGGCACATGCTCCCCCTTCCTGGGACCCTACCCAGTCCTCTGTCCCATCTACCCACCCTGGGTACAGTACCCTGGGGCCAGCTCCCACCCCTGCCCTGTGGGCTCCACTCAGCAGGCCGAGACCCTCTAGCAGCCCTCATCACCCTGAACGGTCTGTTCCTGGGCTCAGTCCCTTTGTGGGCTGGTGCGTCAAGTGCAGACTTGTTCCTGTCCCCACCACTGGTGGGTTGGCTATGGGCTGGGTTGGAACATTGGACATCACCCTTTCTCAGGGCTCTGGACGGATAGGCCAAGGCTTCCGATAGAGGTGGCCCAGATGTACTAGGCGAGGTTCTGACCAGAATCAGTTCGGCAGGCTGAGTGTCATCTGGTGGTCACCATTCTCTTGACAGTGCCCAAGGAGGTGGGAACAGCAGGGATGCAGGCCGGGATAAAGGAGTCCCTCATCTCCACCTTCCTGCAGGGGTAAGTGAGGGCCTGCACCAAAGTTGGTGGGGGCATGGCATGGGGAGCCTGGCTTTGGGGGGAGAACAGTGCTACTGCTGGGGAGAGAACCCTATCCTGGACCTCATTCCGATTCTGCCCCTCACAGGCCATGTGGCTTGAGTCACCCCCATTGCTCTGTGTCTCTGTTTCCCCATCATAAAAGCTAGGGCTCCCTAGGGCCCAACTGTGGCACCCGGCCCACTGCTCCTAGACTCTCTTTCTGTCGGAAGCTCCTGCCCAAGGGTGCAGGTGGTGGGTCTACCCCAGGCCCTCAGGACACCTCTGCCCCCTTCAGGACCCAAGCCATCTCTGCACAGATATCAGAACCTGTGGGTTTCGCTGAACTTGCCGGGCAGAAGAAAGGTATGGGCTGGGTAGATACATGTCTGCCCCAGGTGGGATGGCCGAGCCCTGATGCGGTGTGGGTGTGAAGGAGGCTGCCTGTGCCCAGGTGGCCCAGAATGCCCCTTTGTCATGCTGTGGACCAGGGTTCCCCAGGCCACCCACTGTGGGCCTGATTCTGAGCCCCAGTTGGTCTCGGGCTGCCCAGCCTTTGGCTCAGTACTCACATCCAGCAGGCTGTGTGGATGCCCAGGCTATGGAGCAGGCAGCTGCTGAGTCATGGCTTGGGTGAGGGACCCCACATGTCCCACCTCTTCCAGGCCACCTGCACAGATGTCCTGACACCTTGGCATATTTTTAACTATTTTTATGGAAAATATTAAGTGTGCACAGAAGTAGATAGAAGAGAGCATGCATCTCATGTGCCTGTTGCCCGCCTTCGAGTCACTTTTCGGCTGACCTGCACCAACTCTTGTTCTTGGCACCCCCCTCTCCCCCTAGTCAGCCCCCATTCACCCTTAACCGTAGCTGCTGGGCTCAGTCCCTCACTCTCAGGCCAGAGACTGGGGTCTAGCCACCCCCCCTTCAGTATCCAGATCCTGCCCTCATCTCTCACTGCCCAGCTAAGCCCCCTGCATAGCTGAGCCCTCTGTTTCTTTCCTCCCCAAGCCCCTTCCCAGACCATCCACCAAATGGCCAGTATGAATGGCAGAGGCACAAACTCTGTTGGGGACCCCAATGGCCGCAAGCTCCCCACCCTTGGCCTCTATGCAGCTCAGCCTTCAGCTGCCCTAGCCCAGTGTCCTGCAGCCAAGCTGGCTACCAACTGGCTCCAGACTTCCTATTTGTCCCCTGACCAACCACTGCTCCTCTGCCCTGGCCCTGCTTCCTTGCATTTGTGGTCCCTCGATCACACCTTGACTCAAACACCCATGAGCCATTAAGGCTCCTTGTCCTGGTCACAGCCCTCTGCTTCCAGCAGTATAGCCTTGAGCCTGTGTCCCCCCATCTCCCCTGAACCCTGAGCTCAAGATGGGCTTGGAGGGGATGCTTGGGCTCATCTGGAGTACACACTGGCTGAGTGAGGGTCTGGCCCCCAGAAGATCCCCTGGCATCTGAGGCCCGTGGCCACCTGTCCCTGGCTGAGGTGGGCACAGAGGAGTTCCTGCAGAAGCTGACCTCGCAGATCACAGAGATGGTGTCGGCCAAGATCACACAGGGTGAGAGGCTGGCTTGCAGCAAGGTCCTGGGTGGGGTTTGGGGGATGGTGACCAAGGGCCAGGCCCCTCCCTGCCTGCATCATGAAGACCCAAGGAGAGGTGTGCAGGAGGGGAGCTGGCCTTCCTCGGTGTCACAATCTCTGTGCCCCAGCCAAGCTGCAGGTGCCCGGAGGTGACAGTGACGAGGAGTCTAAGACCCCATCTGCATCCCCCCGGCACGGCCGCTCACGCCCCTCCTCCAGCGTCCAGGAGTCATCCTCAGAGTCGGAGGACGGGGACTCCCGGGGAGAGGTATGTGTGGGAGTACAGGGCCTGGGGCTTGCAGGGGGTAATGGGAGTTGGTGGATGGGGTGGGAAATGGAGGGCCTTGGGTGGCAGGGTGTAGGAGGATGAGGGTACACACTTGAGTGGCCAACATCATCACCATGATCCTAAGACACTGCAGCACCCCTAAGGCTCCCCCTTGCCCTCTGGGTTGGCCCCACCTAGCACTCCTTATAGTTTCCAGCAGCAGAGATTAGTTGGTCCTGTTCTAGAAATTCACAGAATGTCAGGATGGTTTCTTCCTCCTCATGTAATTCCAGGGCCCCGTGGCTTGGGGCCATAGTAGGCCCTGCTGGCTTCTCTCTGGGTCTGACTCAGTGCCTTACCCTCAGATCTTTGACATCTACGTGGTCACAGCTGACTATCTTCCTCTGGGGGCTGAGCAAGATGCCATCTCACTGCGGGAGGGCCAGTACGTGGAAGTACTGGACTCGGCCCACCCACTTCGCTGGCTTGTGCGCACTAAGCCCACCAAGTCCAGCCCCTCACGGCAGGGCTGGGTGTCCCCTGCCTACCTGGATAGGCGGCTCAAGGTACCTGGATGACTGGGGGGTGGCATCCTGGGATTGTCGCCCCCACTGTGAAGATGGGAGCCTGACCCCTGAAGGGCCAGGCCAGCACCCAGGCCACCTATGAGCCTCTCTGTTCCTCACCAGCTATCGCCTGAGTGGGGTTCCACCGAGGCTCCTGAGTTCCCTGGGGAGGCTGTGTCTGAGGACGAGTATAAGGCGCGGCTGAGGTGAGAGGCCATTGGTAAGGGTTATGGGGGAGTTGGGGTTTTTACCTGGTGGCTTTGTGCAGTAGGGTGGCCTTTTGGGGTGCTCTCCTCTACCATCTCCCTGGCTCCATATGAGAGGAGGTACCCATTCAGCAGCTGACTCCTGGGCCCCTCATGTTCTGCCCCCAGCTCTGTCATCCAGGAGCTGCTGAGCTCTGAGCAGACCTTCGTGGACAACCTGCAGTTCCTGCAGAGCCACCACATGCAGCACCTAGACCGCTGCCCCTATGTGCCCACTGCTGTGGCCAGTCAGAAGGCCATCATCTTCCGCAACATACAGGATCTCAGCCACTTCCACAGCAGGTGGGTGGGCATGGCAGGCCTCAAGGATGCTCCCCAGATCTGTGTGTATGAGTACATACCACACACTAAACACATGCACTCAGACACATATGCATTTACCCACAAGGCTGGGCCTTGGGGGTAGGCAAGAGCAGAGGAGAGAAACTGTGCTGACTTGGTTTACCTGCTGGCACACACCTGCTTATCCACAAAAGTGCCTGCAGCACTCCTACTCACTGCAACCCATGTACATGGGCACACACACGTACATGTGCACGCCCTTACATGTGTGGGCACGTGGGTACATCGGCACATGTACATACTCATGTATTTGTGCGTACACACCTACATATGCAGGCCCAAATGTGCACATACTCCCTAGCCTGCCTGACCTATACATACATACATGCCTATGCTTCTTTGCAGATGTACACCCTTAAACACTGCACACGCGTGTCCGCACAGCCCAGCATGCTCACTTCAATCCCCAGGAGCCATCTGACCGAGCCCTGGCAGGAGCCTTGTTTCCCCCAAATCTGAGGATTGGGGTTGGGTTGTAGGTCACGGGCAGAGTCCTAATGCCCGCCAGCCCTCACCTGACTGCTGTCCCCTCCACACAGCTTTCTGCAGGAACTACAGAGCTGTGACACAGATGACGATGTGGCCATGTGCTTTATCAAGAACCAGGAGGCCTTTGAGAAGTATCTGGAGTTCCTGGTGGGCCGAGTGCAGGCTGAGTCAGTGGTGGTCAGCACAGCTGTGCAGGAGTTCTACAAGGTGCCCCTACCCCTAGCTGGTGTGGGTCCCTGTCTCCAAAATCATGTCCCCTGACTCACCTGCCCAGGCCTCAGGGCCCTGGCTTAGTGAGAAAAACAGGCAGAGCCCTCTGAAGCTCTACTCATCTGTTGGTGACCAGCCATCCCTGGGGTAGGGGTGAGGCTCACCTAAGGAGGAAGGGCTGTGTGTGTGCTCTCAGGCTCTGGATGACGTGGGCCATCCAAGGGCTTTGCTCTCCTGCCCTGAGACCCACCCTTCGGTACCCACAGAAATATGCAGAAGAGATACTGTCAGCCGCCAATCCCTCACAGCCACCCCCGCCGCCGCTGCAGCACTTCTTGGAGCAGCCAGTGCAGCGGGTCCAGCAGTATCAGGCCCTGCTCAAGGTACGCTGGCCACTCTTTGCCCCTTGCCCCTTGCCCATGACTGGTGGAGCACACCCTGACCTGCTGTCTTCCCAGGAGCTGATCCGCAACAAGGCACGGAACCAGCAGAACTGCGCGCTGCTGGAGCAGGCCTACGCGGTAGTGTCGGCCCTGCCGCAGCGCGCTGAGAACCAGCTGCATGTGTCGCTCATGGAGAACTACCCGGGCACCCTGGAGGCCCTGGGCGAGCCCATCCGCCAGGTCTGGGGCGGTGCCATGGGGGGTGGGCAGTGGGGTTGTGGGGGGCTGTGTTCAAGCTGACCATGGGCCAACTATGGTCCCAGGGTCACTTCATCGTCTGGGAGGGGGCACCAGGTGCGAGGATGCCCTGGAAGGGCCACCACCGCCACGTCTTCCTTTTCCGCCACCACCTGGTGGTCTGCAAGCCCAGGAGGGACTCGCGCACTGACACTTTCAGCTACGTGTTCCGGAACATGATGAAGGTGCGTGGGCATTGTGGCCTGGTGGGCTGGGGTCGGGGGCAGGCTGCAGGGCGGGCAGAGGAGGGCTGGGCTGATCCTCTGGCCATGTCCTGGGCAGTTAGGTCTCGTCTTCCCCTTACAGCTGAGCAGCATCGACCTGAACGAGCAGGTGGAGGGGGACGACCGCGCCTTTGAGGTGTGGCACGAGCGAGAGGACTCAGTGCGCAAGTACCTGCTGCAGGCGCGGACTGTCATCACCAAGAACGCCTGGGTGAAGGAGATCAGCAGCATCCAACAGCGCCTGGCCCTGACCGTCTGGCGTGAGTGCCTGGTCCTGGCAGCAGGGCTAGAAAGGGGAACTGAAACTTTCAGTTTGGCCATCTGGCTCTCAGGCACCCAGACCCCTGCCCCTGCCATGCAGCTACCTGGGAAGGGGATGCCTCCTGAGGAAGATGGCTCACTGTTCCCTTGGCCAATTCGGCCTCTCTGTTAGCTGAGCTGGGATGCTGTACTGGCCCTGACTCCTATGGTGGGGCCTCAGAGTTTACTCAGGGGCTCCCAACATAGGGAGGCACTAAGACTGGGTTAGGGTCTGCACCCTTGGGTGTGCTTCTCCACCTAGAATGGAAGTGAGGCTACCCTTTCAACATGCTTACTTTCTATACTCCCCACCACTCCCCAGAACACCCAGCCTGCTTCCGACCCTGATTCCTATTCAGGCCAGTGTGGGGTTGCAAGGGGTGGTGTCCATAGCAACCATGTCCTCAGCTGTGGGGCTTCTGGCCCTGCCACGAGTGTACTGAGGGCATGTGTGTGTGTATCCCCAGGAGCCCCAGATTTTGAGGAAGAACTGGCTGACTGCACAGCTGAGCTGGGTGAAACAGTCAAGCTGGCCTGCCGTGTGACAGGCACGCCGAAGCCCATTGTCAGCTGGTATAAAGGTATGACCCCAGGGCTCAGGGGTGCTGGCCCTGACACTGGAAAGAGCTACCTAGAAGGAATCAGGCTGGGTAGGGGCCAAGGACCCTGGGTGGGGCCTGGTCAAGGGCTGGGCATGAGGGACAGGCCTCCTGCCCCAGGTACCTGCTTTCACATCAAAGACGGCCTGGCCAGGGTGCATGAGGTGGGGCAGAGGGGAGAGTGTGCATCTACCCTGTCTGAGGGGCTGACTATCTAGGGGAGAGACAGGTGACAGCAGAGAGACAAATGAGTAGCATGAAGTTGGAAGCAACGTGGGCAGCCAGAGAAATAAAGCGTGGCCAGGCAGATGTGTTGGAAGGCTTCAGGGGGCGGCCAAGAGCCTGGGAAGAGGGGGTCGCCAAAACAGGCATAGTGGGCATGAGGGCTGCAGTGGGGTCTCCAATTTAATCTGAAAGTGATGGGAACTGCAGAACTCAGGGGTCCCGTGACCTCTTTTAGGTTTAGTGACTCACTGGAAGGACTCACAGAACTCAACAGAGCCATTCCACTCAGGTTCAAGTTTGTTGCAATGAAAGGAAAGAGGTGTGGTGGTCTGGGTCTAGGTGGGATGCAGGCATCCCTCCCACCCTGCAGGATTGTACAGATGGTGCCTGTTCTCCCAGCTTTGATGTGTGGCAGCACATGGAGAGTGGCCAACCAGGGATTCTCACCGAGCCTTGGTGTCCAGGATTTCTGTTGTGGGTTATTTTCATTGTCACAGCTGACCACGGCATGGCTGACCTCAGTCATGGCACCTCTAGAGGTCAAATTATGCTGTGTGGCCCAAAGCCCCCATGCTAAATTACAGTGTAGCATAGACTATTCAGCATGGTCTGAGGACCCTAGGTAGACTAGGGTACTCATCAGGGGTTACCTGGGCAGGTAGGCCTCTGAGTCCCAAATTCAGTGTGAATAACCGAGTCCAGTCCTGGTTTTGGAGGAGCCATCCCAGGGCCATCAGTCCTTCTGTCCTGCTTGTCCGCAGCCAGCCAGGGGCATTTGTCTGCCCATGAAGGGCTAAGGATGGGCCTAGAGAGGATACACAGGGGCATTTTACTGGGACATGTGGGAGGGCCCATAACTGCAGCTCATAGTTGGAGCTGCGTGACAGAGACGGTGGATGCAGCAGCTGGTTCCCAGTGATAGCTTGGGAGAGCTGCCCGGGATCTTCTGGAGGGAGGCCTGCTGGCCCACATTCTGAGGTCCCAGCCGCCCCACCTGCTCGATGGCTCTTCCTGCTGTTTCTCCTCACTGAGGCCTTTTGCCTGGAGGGTGCACTCAGAGGGAAATGTCATTCATAAAAGTCATCCAGAAGGGACTCTGCACTCTCCAGGCCCTCCCTGTCAGCCAGGCTGCCCTTAGGAGCATGTGCCAGCTGGCCGATTCTGAGGGGAAAAGACACACCTTGCCCAAGCAGTCAGGGCAAGATCCTGGGGTTCCAGCAGCTCTGGTCAGACCTTGGTCGTCTTCACCCTGACCATTACCCAGTGAGATTTGGAGGGGATGACCACTCTGGGGACAGCTGTGTCCAGTGAGTGGAGGAGATGAGTGGCAGCTGGACGGTCAGCTCATGTTGGCACAGTGGTCAAAGTATAGGTGGTCCAAGTGGCACACATGGCCATGGGGTGTGGCCAGAGCTGATCACTGGCTGACCCAAAGCAGCATCATGATGGGAAACACTGGGATAGCTCCAGGAGGCACTAACCCACCCAGATGGGGTTCACCCCATGCGATGTGCCCCCTACCCTGACTCCAGCATCTCTCGGCAGTTCCCTGTGTGGCATGCAGTGGGGGGTCAGCACCATGTGGCCCTTGTGGCTCCACATGGAACCCTGGTGGTCTGGATGGGAGACCCTTCAAAGGCCTCTCTTCACCTCCATGGCTCATAGCCCCAAGGGGGCTGTCTTCCACCAGCCCATCTATAGTTTGTCAAGTGGCAAACCAAATAGCCAGGACATTCACAACTGCTCAAGGTCATTGAGCATGTAACGACCTTGGCCAGGAAGAGCAGCATTGGGCAGAAGTCAGACTTGCCAGCCTGCAAAATGTCATCATATAATGGGACTGAGTGTTGGGGGCAGAGGGCCAAGTCCTGACTTACCCCTGGGGCAGCTGGCAGGGAGCAGAGAGCACTGGAAACATGTATTAGAGACCTTGGTGCGTGAGTGCACAGCAGACCCATGACAGCCACCCTGTCTATATTAGCTGGAGCCACAGGAGCAAACAGATTGGGCTAGTGACAATCCACTCCCTCTGACCGCTCAAGGCTATTGAGTTGGGATGCGACCTCTCCTGTTACCCCAGATACTTTCAAGTCACCTAAGAATCCCAGAACCTCCTTTCTCCTGGGGTTCTGAGCACCAACACGGGAAGGGACAGATTGCCAGGCTGGTTTACACACTCCAGGGCCCCCTTTCCACGCATAAGGCAGCCACTGGGAGTACCCCCTGCCCACATTTGGGGGCAAGGAATTCCAAACACAGCAAGTATCAGGGTCCAGAGGAAGAGGCCACAGCCATGGTCTCCTGACTTGGCCCAAGGTGACATTACCTTCCCTGATCAGTGAGAACTCTGTGAAGATTCTATTGTTGTAATCCAGTGCTTATACCTGGCAGAGCCATGAAAGTCTGAATTCTCCTGCCTATGGTCCCCTGTGTGTTGGACAGGCACGCAGGACCTTCAGTCCCTTTGACACAAGGAGATGGATGCCCACTTCTGGTCTGGTCATTTTTCTTTTAAAGCAGCAGAGGCCGGGTGGAGGAAGAGGAATGGACTAAGGGTTAGGGATGTAACAAAACACAGTTCCACGGCTAGTGACATCCATTGTTGGGACTTGCCCAAACCCTAAGCCAGGTAGCATGACTCTTGCTGCTGACACATTTATTTCATCTCTAGGACCCTCGACTTAACAGCTACTTCACAGTGCTCTCCAGGGCTCTGCCCCTTCTTGGCCAGCTGGAGTTTAACTTGCATGGTGGTAAACTTTTGGTGGGGGTGTCCACTTAACAGGGCGTCTGGTGGCCCAGGCAGTGGTAACATCCCCAGCCTCTCTCCATGAGGGCTGAGCGAGGTTTCCAAGGAGGCAGGGCCACCTGTCAGAACACGCCCTGCAGACTGCTGCTTCCTCCAGCTGTAACTATTCCAGGTGCCACCCAGGTGCCACAAGCCATTGATAGCTCTCCGTGGGGCTTTTTATGTACCTGGAGGAGCCCTGTTCCAGGGCCTACTGCACACACCTGGCACCTTTACTGTCATCTCTGAAAGAATCCCCGCCATGTGCGTGCTGGGTGCCTGTCCTCATGCCACTCTCTCCTGCCTCCTGCCCATCTGGGTTGACAATGGCCCAACATGGGTTGAAGCATTTGTTGGTGTTTCAGAAGAGGGCCACATGTCCAGGCTGGCCCTCCAAATGCTGAAGGAGACTAGAGACCAAAGAACAAGGCAGACAAATCCAACTGGTCAGTTAATGAGCTTAACAGGAGATTTACGTACAGAAATGCAAGGTAGTCAGATCTCCACTCGCCACCCCCCAGGCTGTTGTATAAAAGCAGTGTGTCTACATGCTGGAGTAGAGTAGGTGTTTAAGGGGTGGGGGGCCACCAGATGCCAAGAGGCTCTGGCACCAGAGATGGTTACAAGACAGACAAGTCAAGGGCAAATCTCTCTGGAGGTAGAGCATGGAGTTCTCAGGGGCCAGGGGCCATGGCCCAGGAGTCAAGATAGTGGACTTATGTTCAGATGAGCCAGCTGTGTCCGCACAGTTGGGAAGCAGGCACCTAGGCTGAACCAACAGCATCCCAGCTCCAAGGAGAACATGAGACAATCAAGGCACCAACCAGGAATCTGTCTCTGAATGCCCTTCACAGTGCACACAGGCTGCAGCCACCTCTCTGTTTCTCTCCATTCACAAACAACAAGCAGGGCGGGCTGTTACTGCCCAGCTGAGCACACAGTTTGGTCAGCGCGTCCACCACTTATTCCCATGGACCTCCCTCTGGTCCTGTTAACTGGCTACCTTCTTTCTCTTTTGGAATACCATGTCTCTGACAGTGCCCTTTTCTTATCACCAAACTGCAAATCAGAAGCTGTACAAGGTCTGAGATGATTCCCTGGCAGCCAGGCACAGACAGACATAAGACCTTGGTCAGCGACAAAGATTGCTGGTCACAGAAAAGCACAGCGTCTTGCCTCAGGGGCCACCATTGCCTTGTCTAGGGCCAGACATTAGCTGCATGCAGTGAGTTCACCACAAGAGAGAAACACCAAGTTTTAGAAGGTGCTGAGCTGTTATGGGGCTGCTGGTACATCTGCCCATCCGTTCCCCAGAGAGAGAAGTGCCTTATGGGCTGGAAGGAAGGACAGGGCTTTGTCTCCACTGCCCTGACACATCGGGCATCTCCTTATACAGGCACCCAGAACAGCTGTGCCTTTGCCCAGCGGTTGGCCCAGGGAATGCAGGAGGGCACAGAGAGCTATTTTCTGACAGTAGGACAGGGATTGAAAACTGACTGCATTGATTGTCACCAGCAGCCTTGCCGAGAGCTGTTTCATGGGAAGTGAACCCTGAGAGAAGGGTGTTTGGGGGCCACTGAGAAGGAAGCACTGGAGTCTGAGAGGGAATGAGGACAACTCTTGGGACACGAGGGGTGCAGAGAAATGGGGTAGTGGCTGGAGGCTTTTTCTTTTTCGTATATTTTAAAGTAATTTCTTGAGGTTCCCTGTGAATAAAAAATCAAGATGTTGGTCATGAACCGTTGTAATTTAAACCACCTTGTTCAGCACGTGCAGAGTTGTTGGAAATTCTATGAAATTTTACATGTTTATGGAGGAAAGACTTTTTATCAGAATGAGACATCTTTTGTGGGGTTTGAGCCCCAGCCTGGACTTTGCCTCCAGGTCAGAACACGCTTTCCAGAAGCTGCACTGCACATGGAAGTCTAGGCGAGTGTCCAGGGCTCCAGGTCAGCTTGGCCAGCTGGACTCCCAGCGGGGAGCTTCTCCTGGCCCTTGGGCTTCGGCCTCCACCCCTCCATCACTACCTGTAACTGTGACCTCCAGCCAGGCCCCGCCTCCTGTCCCTATGGGCTCCTCCGTGACAGTCCTCCCTCCTTTCCAGATGGGAAGCCAGTAGAGGTGGACCCTCACCACATCCTCATAGAAGATCCTGATGGCTCGTGCACCCTTATCCTGGACAACCTGACGGGTGTTGACTCCGGCCAGTACATGTGCTTTGCAGCCAGTGCTGCAGGCAATGCCAGCACCCTGGGCAAAATCCTGGTGCAGGGTGAGCCTGGGAGGGGGGCTGGTGTGGGGAACCCAGACGCCACCCACCACAGCAGCCCCCATGGGGCTGGCAGGTGGTGTGGACGTCTGACCCAGGTCTGGAGGCTCATTGGCGGGGACGGGGTCCTGCTACATCATGTTGTTTCTTTCTCTCTCTTTCTCTGTGTCCTTCTCTGTGTCCTTCCTTGTGTGTCTTTGTCTCTATCTTTCTCTGTCTTTGTCTCTGTCTCTCTATGTTTACATCTATCTCCTCTTCCCTCCCTTTGTTTTTGTCTGTCTTTCGTTCTCTTTATCTCTCCCTCTCTTTGTATCTCCCTCTCTCCTCCCATGGTCCCCTCAGTCCCACCACGGTTTGTGAACAAGGTCCGGGCAGTACCTTTTGTGGAGGGAGAGGATGCCCAGATCACCTGCACCATTGAAGGTGCCCCACACCCTCAGATCAGGTGGGCCTGGGTGATGAGGTGGGTGGGCCTGCCCCGGGTGGCCCCTTCGGCCTGTAAACCGAGGGTGGGCAGCATGTTCACTGTGTCAAGGTGGGCTGGACACAGAAGCTCAGCCTTTCTGATGAGAAGTGAGCGTCTCCAGGCCTGACACATTCCTACACAGCCCTACCTGCAGCAAGGAGGACATTGCCAGGCTGGATGTTGGGCTGGTGCTGTCCAAGAGGGTGGGCACTGTAAGGTCATCTGGATCTTTGGACCGGGCAAGGGAGGGTCCTGCGTACCAGGGATCTGGGGAGGTCCTGGTTGACCACCTGGGTTGGCTTCAGGTGGTACAAGGATGGGACCTTGCTGACTCCTGGTGGCAAGTACCGGACCCTGAGTGAGCCACGCAGTGGACTGCTGGTGCTGGAGATCCAGGCGGCCAGCAAGGAGGACTTGGGCCACTATGAATGCGAGGTGAGGTGGGAGGGTGCAGGGGAAGGTTGAGGAGGGGCTTGCCTGTAAAATCCAGTTTCTTTACCACCATACATAACCTATGATGAGAAGGAACACTAGGTTCAAACTACCCAGGGTTCATGATGGAACACCAGGCCCACTGTCACCCACCATCCATGACGAGAGAGGGGACACCAGGCCCACTGTCACCCACCATCCATGATGAGAGAGGGGACACCAGGCCCACTGTCACCCACCATCCATCATGAGAACAGAGACACCAAGCTCACTGTCACCCACTATCCATGATGAGAAAAGAGAAACTAGGCAACTATAACCCACCATCCATGATGAGGGAAGGGACACCAGGTTCACTGTCACTCACCGTTTATAGTGATAGAGGGGATACCAGGCCCACTGTCACTCTGTCCACGATGAGAGAAGACACCAGGCAACTGTTACCCACTGTCCTTGATGAGAGGGGCACCAGGCACCTGTCACCTACCATCTATGATGAGAAAACTGGACTTATAAGGGGACGCTGGGTGGAGTCTGCTTTGTCCTCCATGGTTTGCCAGGGCCCGTGGGGGCCTGGGGAAGGTATGTGCTGGCTGTGGCTCTGCCTGGTTGCCAGCCTCCTTCGTGATGCTGCTGCCTGGGGCAGGCTGGGAGGGGTCTGGCCTCTATGGCAAGTCCCAAGGAAGTAAATAGACCCAAATCATCTTGGACACAGTCTGTCCAATTCAGTCACTGTTGGCCACGTAGCAGTGGCAACTTAAATTTAAATCAGTTAAAGTTAACTCTAACAAAAGATTCTGTTCCATTCCAAGTGCTCAGGGCCCACAAAGCCACCACACAGGACAGTGCAGTTATGGATTGTCTCCACCATCACAGGAACTCCTGGGCAGTGCTGGGTCCTATGGGGGATACAGTAGCTAGGCTGGGACCCTGTGGCCAGGCTCTAGGGCTCTGGGACACAGCTGGGGCGGGATTCCTATGCTCCAGCCAGTCCGCACTGCCCCAAAGAGGTGACTCAGGCCTCTTGAGGAGCGACGGGCTGTAAGTGGCCTCTGCTGTCTTTCTTGCAGTTGGTAAACCGGCTGGGCTCAACACGGGGTGGCACAGAGCTTTCCCTGCAGAGCCCGGCGCTGCGGGCCCAGGAACAGCGCCGCCGAGAGCATATTGCTGTGCTGGAAGGTAGGTGCATCCACTGAGGCCTCAGCCTGGCCGGAGCCTCCATACATTTGGGCAGGGCCTAGTGGGGTGAAACATCAGTCCTTCCAATCAGGGTGTGCTCCCTGGAGGCCTGTAGAGGTCTGTGACTGGAGCAGTAGGCATGAGGGGCAGTAGGAGGTGGGCCATGAACCCAGAGCCCAGGCAAGCCTGGAGAGGCAAGCCTGAGCTTGGCAGCCCAGGCTCTGCTCACCATCCCTGGGGAATGATTGTGTATAAAAGCCAGACCCAGGCCTAAGCGGCCTGCCAAGCAGTGGCTAGTGAGTCCTTGTGGAAGGGGTGGCAGGTAGGACAACTCCACAAAAGAGAGGGCCTCTGCCAAGTGCAAAGTGCAGGGTGCTGGGTTCCAGCTTGGCTCCTGGGAGAGCAAATGGGTGTCAGGGGCCCAGTGCCTCCACACTGGAATGGGGTGGGGACTGGCCATGGTAGGGACGGCCTTGGTGGGTACAGCCTGGCCTGGGGGCATCCCTGGGATCTCAGGGGTGGTCTGGGCTACAGGGCCTCATAAGGGAGAGGTGTGCTCCTGGGCAGGAGATGAAGAGCAGTGAGATGACTCACATCTCCATTCACACTGTGTCTCCAGAGTCGCAGCTGGGCCCTCTGGGACGGCCAGGATGGGGCAGAGGGCACCTGGCGTCTGTCCTGGGCCTGCTCAGTCTGAGAGAGCAGCCTTACAGGGCTTGCAAGGATGGCTACCACCCCGGGGAGAGCTTCTCTCAGTCTGAGCTGCCCCACCTGGAAGGGGCTGTCTGTGGAGTGGTGAGCTTCCCATTCCTGGGGACATGCAAGCAGAGGTTGGGCCAACGCCTGGTGACGCTGCAGCTCTCATAGCAGGATGAGTTGCAATCCGTGTCCTCCTAAGTTCTGAAAGTTGGCTTCTGTGACCCTCAGCCCACTGGATCCAGTCCTTCCCAGGGCCCAATGTCTGGGAGCCGCTGTCCATCTGGATCCGCACCTAGTGGCCTCAGGGCCTTTGAGACCCTCCAGGGCCCTTGTAGAAGAGTTGGGCCACCTACTGGTCTCAGGGCCTTTGAGACCCTCCAGGGCCCTTGTAGAGACCATTCTCTAACTTGTGGGCAAGAGTCCTCTTTCTCGTCTTACAGAGGGCCACCGGCACTGGCCAAACCAGTTCCTGCTGGAGACCCTGCTCACATCCACCCTGCCATATGGTGTCTCACGGGGAGGTGCTGATCTGTGCTGCTCCTTGTCAGTGGGTGACAAGCATATCCTACAGAGCCATTCACTTTGTTATCACGATGGTCTCTTTCTGTCAACGTCCCATGACCACAGGATTCAGAGGAGGGGCAGCCACCTGTGCCAGAAACAGTATTGTGTCTCATACGGGAAAAAGGCCGGCCCTCACACATCTGCAGTTGGAGCCCGCTGCCTCCCGCTTCCTAACCCTGTCCTGTTGCTGCGTCTTTAACCCAATGGCCCCGCAGACAGTGGCCCTGTGGGGTGGGCACTGTCCTCTCGCTTGTGAAACTGCTTCGCACGGCTGCGCCCCTCCCACGGTCGCCAGCACTTACTTGGGCTCAGGGCCAGTCAGGTGGCAATCAGATCAGGAAGAAAGGTGCCAGGAGTGTAGCAGCCCAAGGGTGCCCGGCCACCACCCCCAAATGCACACATGCATACACACACATACATCTTTGTGCATACACGTGCATGTGCACACACACGTGCACACACACAGTAAATGTGGCTCCCAGATGCCACACAGACATGGCTAGTACATTTAATTCACTTGCACCTAATCGGAGACAAGTTTAAAATATTCTTGATCATCGAAGGGAAAGTCTTACTCTATGTGACACTGAAGCAAAGCAGAAAACCCCACAGACCAGGAACTGAGAGGCCATATGCCTGGGTCCTGCCACTTCACATTTCCGAGCCTCTCCCTCAGTTTCGCTGCAGGATGATGAGAAGGGTTGTTGAGATGTGAGGGTGCTGGTAGCCAGAGGAATGCTTGCTGTCCAGGCGGGCAATACTGAGTGGGACATCTCTGTATCAACCTGACCCCACCCAGAAGCTACAGAGAAAGAGGGTTCAAGATAGTTGGAAGTAGGTGTTGCCTGGTCCAAGACAAGTCCCGTTCTGTCTCTGGGACTTGGGTCCCCCATCGCAAAACGGGAACCATAAGCTCTTTCTCGCTGGCTCAGGGGAAGAAGAAAGCCAGGTGCTCCTATGGGGAGACCTAGGTTTCCTGGCTCACTTGGAGACCAGGTGCCTGCCCAGGCATCCACAGGTTGCTCCCAATAGGATTTCATGGTCTTGTTCCACAGGGCTCAGGTGTGCCGCCTCCAGGACTCCATTCACCCTCCCCGGGAGAGATGCCTTTGGTCTTTAGAACATTTATTTTTATTTTTATTTGTAAAATAGACATCAGCCATCTTGGTCCCAGTTTGGCTGCTGGCTCACTGGAAGGCCACAGACCATTTCCTGCCCCTCTCTGGGCTGTAGTTTCTAAGTCTGAGAAGTGAGACTTTAGGCCTGACAAGTTCACAGTTCTTCCTGGGCATGGCTGAAGGAGAAGCTGGGATTTCTCTGTGGACAGCCTCAGCAGAGCCGTTATGCTCCCAAAGCTCCTGCTAGATGCTCGAGGGGCAGGAGTCCTACCCTCATGTGCTATGTACTGTTGTCATACCACTCAAGGCAGACATAATCGCCTCCACTTCAGAGAAGAGGAGAGAGTCACCCCAGGGGCACATGGCCAGGCAGGGCTTGGACTCAGTGCTCCTAAGCTGAATGGGTTACTACGCTGCCACACCACTCAGGTAGCTTGGCCCCAAGTGCTGGCTGATCTGTAACCCTTGCTATTCCGACTGTTTTCTTTGTAGTCACTGAACAGGAGACTAAAGTCCCCAAGAAAACCGTCATCATGTAAGTGCAGGCGTGTCCCTAACTTTCATTCCGACTGCAGTGCCCCCTGCATGCCCATTAACGCCCTGGACCCTGCCCATGTGGCCTGACCACCTACTTGCCTTGCTGCCTGCCCTCACAACCTTTGCTCACCACGCAGACTGCCAGCACCTTGCAGGTACTCCCAGGGAATTCACCTTCCCTGGGACCTTCACACTTCACAGCTTTCTCTTGCCGGGCCTCAGTACCCTCTCCAAGGCCCCATTGCCCCAGCAGGGTAGACTTACTCTGCTCACTTCGCAGTATCTCACCCAGGCTTGGACCCAGAGTTACACCAGTCAGGGTGGATCTGGGATTCAGAGCTGCGTCCCACAGTGGGTTAGAGGCAGAATTCTGTCCTTCGATACCTTAGGATCTAGGGCACTGTTGTTCAGTAGAACTTCTCGTGGTGATGGAAATAGTATATATTTACACTGAGCACTCCAGCAGCCTTTAGCTAACATGTGGCTATTGGGCATTTAAAATGTGTCAATTGCAGCTAAAGAACCGAATTTTAAATTTTATTTAATTTTCACTAATTTGAATTTAATTGAAATGTGTCATAGTGAACATAACTGCTCTAGAGCCTCAGAGGTCTCCAGGCCCAACCCTCACATTTGGAAGATGGAGAAACTGAGGTTCATGAAGGAGAGAAGGGTCACTTAGGGTGGCTCATGATTGGAAGCTAGCCGAGAACCCATTTCCCTGGTGCCACACTCCTTGTCCTTCTTCATCTTTGTGTGCCTTGAGGGCTGAGTAGCCACATGGTTGTTGATAATTAAATAACACGAGTGGTCCAGACCTAGATGCACCCACAGAAGGCAGGATTGGTTTTGACTTGGGTAATCCCAGAGGATTTCCAATAGGAGGTGTGTGCAGGCAGATATGGTGGAAGGGCTTGTAAAAGCCAGGAGGCGAGAAAGATTGTGGTTTCCTAAGGCCAAGTGACTGAGAAACTCCGGGATGGGCAACCTCCTGGTTCCCCATGGCCCTCAGACCTCTTAAGGGGCCTGCAGTTGGTCACGTTGCTAGAGAATCCCATCTTCAGACATTTGATAAAATCCTGGATTAACTCTTCTTTGACTACTTCCCTCCTCACCCAAAGCAAGTCACCACCTCACAATAGATGGGGCTGCCTGGGCCAGCAACGAGCACCCCATCCCTGGAGGTATGCAGCTATGCCAGAGCTTTACACAGATTACACTTCATCCATGAGGAGAGCATCGTTATTATCCACATCTTATAGGTGACAGATGGAGGAGCAGAGATGGGCCTGGCAGTCCCATGGGGGAGGCATCCAAGAGGACTCATGCTTACGGGAGGCTAGACTAAGTGACTCAAGGCATCCTAAAGTCCAGTATATTCCGCGCTCAGGGAGATAGAAACACCCTGCGAGGAAGGGTGCACTCCCTCAGCTTAAGGAACCAAGAGGCAACTGCCTGGCACAGCACCCGTCCCATCAAGGGCACACTGTATACTGAGGGATACCTGGGAGCCAGGGGTATCAGAAGGAAGCTTGGCTTGGAGAGAGACCCCTGCCACCAGGCAGGCTCACATCCAGTGTCAATGGCCTCAGCAGGATGCCCACATATCCTCATGGGGGCAGCAGTGAGCCCAGCATGGGGGCCATTTAAGAGTCCTAATCTTACAGCTTCTCAGTTCTACCTGACTCACTGCCCTGTCTCAGTAAATTGGGCAGCATGAGGCCAGCACACTGGGCCTGGGCCAGGTTCTCCTGACATTTGGGCAGGCTCCAATCCAGGGACAAGCTTAATGCCCCTGAGCCTGGATGTGAGGCAAGAATGCAGGCCTGTGGCCACATCCCCAAGTCTCAGATTCCCCTCAGTTAAGTGGAGATAGCATTTCCCCTTTGCCAGGTGAGCGTCAGAGGGAGCAGGACTTCTAATTGCTCTGCATCCTGAGGTTTGGCCACATATCTCTAGGCCTATGCTTGGACCCCTGAGTTAGACAAAAACAAAGCTGGAGAGAGAAAGAGAGAGAGCGAGAGAGTAAGCAAGCGAGCAAGCGTGCACGAGAACACCTTGGTCATGTCAGGCAGCTGGTGACAGCACTGAGTTGTCACCACCTGTACACTAAGTTCCTCTGCCTGAGCCTGAGAGGAAATGCAAGTCCCAGGGCCCAGGAGAGCTGTAGTTACTCAGCCCGTTTCCGTTCTTTGCCTGTTACTCATTTCATGCTCAGCACCCAGCCAGGCTAGGGACACTGGGCAGAAGACAAGGACCTGGCTGACTGGTGGGCTTCTGACTCTTGGCCCCAGACAAGTTTCAAGCCTTTTTCAGCCTTGTCCACGCCTGTAAAAGAGGGTCAGACGCATCCCTCAGGGCTGCTTCGGAGTCCCTGGCCAGCAGCCTGCATGCACCCACATGCAACTGGCCTTGCGTTCTGCTTCCTCTTCTCCCCACCCCCTCTTTTGGGAGGTAGGGACCAGAAAGGGAAAAGGCTTTTTTGAGGTCACAAAGCTCATGACAGCCAAGCCACACCTAGAGCCAGATGTCCTTGTCCAACCTCATACCTCTGGAGCACAGCTGCAGGTCGGGGCTCTGACAACCCTCCCACACCTGCACCTGCAGCGTCAATTGCCCAGTCTGTCCCTAACTCAGGATCACTTAGGTGCCTGACCTCTGAGAGCTCACCGGGGCAACCATAGCACCCCCACGCACATCCCACCATTGCCCATGATACAAAGCACAAAACACTGGTGGGATGGACAGGAGTACTGTGTCCCTACACCCCATCCATTAGCTCTGCGAGGAAGTCTGGCATCTCCAAAATGAGATAGCTGTGAACAGGGAAAGGAGATTGGCCCACGGGGACATTGCAAACTGGACTTGGTCTGGGGATTGGAGGCAATGTCTCAACTCTCGTTTTGAGATCTGAACACCAGAGCCTCAAGTTGGCCAGATGAGACTTTGTACTGTTTCTTTGGTTCTCTGGCCGAGGGTTCTAGAGATTGGGCTCAAGTGCATGTGTAGGAGTTTGTGCAATTTCACCATTTACTTGCTAACCTAATTTACACCTTTTATACTAACCTGATCTCTCATGCTGGCCCTGCATGTGCTGTGGCATGGGTGCCAGGCCAGGCTGCGGGTCTCTGTGCCATCTCCTCTCGGCCCTCTCCCTGCAGAGAGGAAACCATCACCACCGTGGTGAAGAGCCCCCGTGGCCGCCGCCGGTCCCCCAGCAAGTCTCCTTCCCGCTCGCCTTCCCGCCGCCATGCCAGCCCACCCAGGCCAGGCCTGCAGGCTCCTGAGCTGCTGTACACGCCAGGGCTCGGCCAGCCCCGAAGGCCCACAGCAGAGCCAGGGTGGAGGCCCACGGTGCCCACTCTGTACGTGACAGAGCCCGGGGCTCACACGCAGGCCCTGCCCAGGGGCACTGGGCCCCCACCTAAGTGGGTGGAGGTTGAGGAGACCATTGAAGTCCAGGTGAAGAAAACAGGCCAAAGGAGTGTGTCTCCAGCCACAGAGGTGCCCGGCAGCTCGGCAGGGCTTCTCTTCATGCTGCCTGGTGGGACCCCTGGAGGAGACCCCAACACAAACAACTCCAACAACAAGATGCTGGCCCAGGAGCCCCCAGACCAGGGCAGAGCTATGGGCAGTGTCAGCGAGCCCCTCATCTTGGACATGGGGCCAGAGACCCCTGACCTGTCCTCTCCCGGGGCCACTGAAGAGGAGGCCCTCTTGGAGGAGGAGGGGAGAGGTGCCCATCAGACGGAGGAGCTCCTCGGTGCAGATGACCTTTGGGGCCGTGACCCTAAGATCCTCGAGCATGACGGTCGTGCGCTGACACTGGCTGACCTGGAGGATTACGTGCCCCAGGAAGGGGAAACCTTTGGCTGCAGTGGCCCCGTGCCCAGTGCTTCTGACGACCCACCCTGTGAGGTCTCGGTGCTCCAGAGAGAGATCAGCGAGCCCACCGTGGGGCAGCCTGTCCTGCTTAACGTGGGACGCCCGCTGGGCCCTCGTGGCCCACCTGGCTTCTTCAGCCGCCTGCCCCAAGGTGGGGCTCTGTCAGGGCCCCAGGGCCCTGGGCCCGCCGTCTCCTTCTGCGTGCGGGAAGCCCAGGCTGGAAGCGCCACATCCTGGAAGCCATCCTTCTGCACCCAGGTCCAGCATTCTCCGGACAGTGGCCAGAGCAGCTTCAAAACAGAGATTTCCACCCAGACAGTCAGCTTTGGGACAGTGGGTGAGACGGTCACCCTGCACATCCGGCCAGACAGGGACGAGTGCTCCAGCCCCTCCCAGGGCTGAGGCCGCAACTGTAGGGGGCAGGTGGCTGGGGGTTGAGCCGGGTCTCTGGGGTCAGGACAATCCTGAGGCAGCTGCAGTGGTTTCATGGGGCAACAGAAAGAGAGGCGTGGCCGTGGGCCCGAGGACCCCCCACCTGGCACCAGTACCTGCTACCCTGGATTTTGGGTTCAGGAGAGAGGCTTGAAGCCAGCACCCAGGACACATGTGCTCTGACCCTCCTCTCACTCTGCAGCAGCTCGGGGCTCCAACAGCTCTTCCTGTGGTCTGGGTACTCCCTACCTCACAGGGCGGGGTCTTCAGCTGAGGACATTGTGCTTGAGGCTGCAGTCTGGTCTACAGAGGAGGCTGGGGGTGCCCCTGGTAGACTAGCTCTAGGTGGTGTCTTCCTCTCCCTGTATAGGGGCACATCCCTGCTCTGTGCCTAGGCTACCTGGCCTACTCAGTGGGGTCTTCTCCAAGGGCATGTCTTTCCCATGGATACTTTTTTTAGCCTCTGGGAGGCCCATGGGGCCCACTCTGTAGGCTTCCTGGGCCTTCCTTGCAGGGTGGGCCAGGGTCTGTGGGTGGGAGGCAACTCTTGTCAATCGACTCCATGATGATAATAAACCGACTTTCACAAGCCCTGTGGTCTGTTCCTTCTTGCTTCTCTGCCAGCCATTCTGACAACTTGGGTACAAGGGGCCCTCTAAACCTGGCCCTGGGGACCAACCAGAGGGCAACCCAGGCCCCTCCCCTGGTAGCCATGGGTAGGTCTCGGCCCATCCTGGGATCTCTGGGTTTAGGTGGGGTAGCTCGCCTGACCAGCCTGTGGGGCTGGTCATAGGTGCACACAGCGTGACCACCCATAATGGCTGCTTCTGCCCTACCTTGGTTAGCTGGCCTTCCTGCTCCCTGCTCAGTCTGGCTGTTTGTTGTCAGGGCAGACAGGGTGTGATGTGCAGGGCGGTCCTGTTGACCTCCTTGGAGTGGGGAAGGATGGAATGGATGCCCTAATGCTGGAGAGCATTCTGGTGCAGGGAGGGCTCCAGGCAGGAGGACATACTAGGAACAGAGCAGTGGGCATTC